AGTTGGGACAGGTGGGGCTGTGGGGAGGCAGCTGGTGGTTGGCTGTTCTTGTGGGAAGTGGAGGCCAAGGAGAGCCCGGGGCAGGGGAATGGGGTTTGCCAGTCTCCTCCAAACACAGGCAGGTTTTGGGACAGGCAGGGCCAGGGGGAGGCAGCTGTTCTGATGGTTAGCTGTTCTTGCAGGAAGCTGAGCCCCGGATGTGGACCTATGTGTATCCAGCAAAATACTCGGACATCAAGACAGAGGATGAGCGGTGGAAAGAGGAGAGGGACCGAAAGTTGAAGGAAGAAAGAAATCGAAGCAAAGAAGCCTCGTCCAAAGAGGACGGGAAGGAGAGCAGCAGCTCCGAGTGCAAGCTGACCCCCACCGAGGAGGCTCGCATGGTGGGGAAGGATCCCAGGCCCAGTGTCCACGTCCCCGTGTCCTCACCCCTCACGCAGCATCAGTCCTACATCCCGTACATGCACGGCTACTCCTACAGCCAGTCGTATGACCCCAACCACCCCAGCTACCGTGCCATGCCCACCGTCATGATGCAGAATTACCCAGGTAGGGAGCTGGGAGCTTCAACGGGTGTCCATTCCCAGCTGTCCCTGCTCTCAGGGTGGGGGGTGGCTGTGGGACATCCTCTCACACACATACAGAGCCACATGCTCTCACTGTGCTGCCTGAATACTCTGGGTGCCCTGACTGCTCTTCTTCCCCCAGGATCATACCTACCCTCCAGCTATTCCTTCTCACCGTATGGGAGCAAGGCATCTGGCAGTGATGACAGTGACAAGTCCCGAGCCAGTCCCAGCGTGAGCTGTAAATCCAGCTCAGAGTCCAAGGCCCTTGACATCCTGCAGCAGCATGCCAGCCACTACAAGAGCAAATCACCCACGGTGAGCATCAGCAGGGCGCTGGCTTCGCCCAGCTCTGTGGGATAGTCCCTAGGTCCTGTAATAACGTGGCAGCAGCTCCTTTTGTCATGTGGTTTTGCTGTTTCTGCTGCTGCGGGGGACCTGCAGTCATGGATTCCAACATTACAAATCCTTTGGGATGGACCAGCCAAACCTGTGCCTCCATGCTGAGGCATCTCCAGGTCCTGCAGCAACCAGGTGACATTTTTCCTCAGCCCTGGAGCTGGCAGGTGGGATGTGGGGGCTGTCTCCATCCTGTGGCTCCTCCTGGGTTGAGCTGGGAGATAGAGCTTGGACACAGCAAGGAAAGAGTGGTCCTCAGACAGGCCCTGTGTCCTCCACATGGCTTTTGGCATCTCACCCCATGGGAACCTTTTGGGCAAAGGCAGAGGGAACATCCCGATACGTGCCTTGGGGTCTCTGGTCATGTCCCTCAGCACGTGTCTGCTTTCTCCTCTCCAGATAAGCGAGAAGACGTCTCAGGAGCGGGACCGCAGTGGCTGTGGGGTGGTGGGGGGCGGTGGGAGCTGCAGCAGCGTCGGGGGAGCGGGTGCAGGGGAGAGGAGCGGCGACCGGCCCCGCACGTCGCCCTCCCAGCGCCTGCTCTCGACGCATCACCACCACCACCACCTCGGGTACTCGCTGCTGCCAGCACAGTACAACCTGCCCTATGCAACAGGTGAGAGTGGGGCTGGGCTGGGGGGGGAGGGCCCTGTCTCCCAGCTTCTGACAAGTCTTCTCCCCGCCAGGTCTCTCCTCCACAGCCATCGTTGCCAGCCAGCAAGGCTCCGCTCCCTCCCTATACCCGCCTCCGCGGAGGTGAGAACGGTAAGGCTCTGCTCCTGCCGCACCTCCGCGTGCGCGCCGGGCCGGGCCGAGGTGGCCGGGATGGGCGCTCACGGGATGCCCTCGAGGGTTTAGGGTTTGCCCACGGCCTTGGGGCTCGCGGGAGCTGACTTGCCCTTGGGTCGTGGCAGGATGTGACACACCGGGATGCCTGGGCTGTACAAGACGTGTGACTGGCTCACATGGAGAAGTGCTGGAGACTCCTTTAGACATCAGTTGAATGGTGTTAATTGTACTGCTTGACGTTCCTGCCCTGATCTGAGGCAGACTGTGTCTTCTCCCCTCGTCGGACACACACTGACTCCCCACCCCACCCCTCTTTGTGGAGTGGTGAGCTGGTACCTGCGGATATATTTATTCTACTGAGCACCAGCACTTGGGGTGGAGGCGACTCACCTGCCTGGTGCATATGAAGAGGAAACAGAAGCACTGAGGTTTCTTGATGAATTTGGGACCCTGCCGTGTCTCTGTGAGCTGCTGCTTCACAATAGGACTGGGGGCAGGCAGGGACTTGGAACATGGGCTGAGCCTGCCTTGTGGCCACAGTCTCAGGAAAGGAAGGAAGGACTGGCTCACAGAGCCTTGGCGGGTGTCAGGGGGCTAGTGTGAGCCAGGCGGGTGGGTGGCAGCCTGGCTGGAGGCAGCTGTGGAGCTCTCCCAATCCCTCATCTGGTCCTGCACCCCACAGCACCCACAACTCTGTGCCTGTGGGCAGGAGCCACCAGCATGTGGCCAGTGGCCAGAGTGGGGCTGGGGAAGCTCTTGGCCCCAGGAAAGCAGCCTCTGCCCTTGGGGGCTGAGGCTCTGTGGGGCTGAGGGCAGCAGGGGACAGAGCTAGGGGCTGCGTCTGTCACCCCACAGGCTGCCAGGGTCCCCCAGGCTGTGCACGGTCCAGACCTGCCTGAAGCTCCTGCCTGTGGCTTTTGCTTTGGTTTCGGGGCTGCAACTCCACAAATCCCAGCCCTTCCTCTGCCCCACTATCATGGCAAGTGCTCCCCAAACCCTGGGGCAGCACATCCTGCTGTGGGGGGCTGTGGCTCCCCTTTTTATCCACCTTTTGCTTTTAGGGCAGCTTCCCCAGGCTGCAGGCAGGGCGCAGCAAGAAACAAGCACACTTAGGTTCTGCCAGAGGCATGTGGGGCCGTGCCGGTCCCTGCTCCAGCCTCGCGCCAGGGCTGGGGGCACCAGGTCCTGGAGGAAGACGGTCCCCACTCCTGCCTGCTCCCCAGCTCTGAGGACAGGGGCTTTCTGGTCCTCTGCCCCCAGCCCCAGAGCGGCTCACCCCAGGCCGACACTCTACCTCGGCCCCGCAGCGGCCGGGCCGCCCCTGCTCTGCCCCCGCCTCTCCCGCTGCCCGGCCGGGGGACATGGGGGCCATCGGTCTCAGTCGTGTGTGTCCGTGTTGCACCCGGCCCCGAGGGCCGCTGTACGGGGATGCTCTGCCTGCTGGGCTCTGTACATACTGTAAAAAGCAATTGTTTGAAAGCTGTTGTTTTGGGTTTTGTTTTCTTTCCCCGTTTCTTCCCCATCCCACTGTGCCCAGTTGGAAAGGAGGTGCTGGCTGCTCTCGGCCCAGTTCAGGTGCCGGCGGCACGGTGGCCCCAGCCTGCTCTTGTTGTCTGACTCATTTTTCTTCCACTTTGTTGTGTTTGGAAGGAGATGGGGCCGCGTGGCCCAGCACACTCCGCAGGGACAAGGTGGGTTGATGGACCCACTCCACACCCATCACAGAGCCAGCCACATGCAGCCACGGGACTGGGGCCTGGTGGGGTCGGGGTGCTTTGGAGAGCCTCACGTCCCACCCGTGGAGGAGTGTCCCGCTGGCTTCTCCTACCTCCAGCCTCGGCCGGCCCGGCACAGCCGGGCTCCCAGCACGGCCGGGGCCCACAGCGGCTCCAGCGGCGCAGAGGAAGTGCCTGGGGGTGTTGGGGTGTCACAGGCTTTGCTGGCAGTCGGAGGGGGTCGGGGTGCTGCTCCCCACCTTCCCAGTTGGGTCCCAGTTGAGTCTCCCTTTAGGTGTTAAATGAAACAACAGTTTATGCAGAATAGGTTTGAGGTTTGGCATTTTCCGGGTTCTCTGGGCCAGCTGCTGCCCACGGGGCCACCCCCAGACCCGGTGTCAGACCGTTGGTGTTTATAGCTCGTTTCCATTGGCGTTGCTGTGTTGGGTTTCATTTCAGTCTTCCTGACTCTGCCCTTCTGTAAAGTGTACATTATTACCAAGTTCCTTGTTTTTTTATATATATATATATAAATATATATATATACAAACTGTACTCTTCTTGCCTTTGTACATTTAGGCAAGGAGGGAGAATAAATCTTTTTAAGAGACAATCACAAACCTGTGAGGGTGGCTTTTTCTTGCTGTTCCCCCAAGTCTGGTCCTTTATCCCTAAAGAGCGTGGCCAGTTATTTTTGGGGGTGGGAGATGGGGTTTCCCCATCTCGGGCATCTGAGAAGGCTCTTGGTGCTCATTGACCCCTGGATCCACCTCTGCCCCAGCACTCATGGCTCTGGTGGATGCTGCAGCTGAGCTCAGACCTGGTGATTGGAGGCAGAACCCCCCAGGGCCGAACCCCTTGGCACCAAGGCCCTGCCCTACACCATGGCCTCAGGGTACAGGAGGTACTGGAGGCACGGGGCAGGCACAAGGCAGGGTTTGGCTCCTCCAGCTTTGTCACGGAGGTGATCCATGTGGGAAGCAGCACCCAGGGACACCACAGGCACCTTCCAGATTTTCCACAGGGTGTTTTGGAAGGCATTTGGCGATTTGAGAAATCCGCATTTGCCCTCCTTTACTTGAGGCAGGGCAGGAGAGGATTTGAAATTGCCAGAGAAACACATGCAGTGTGGCACAGCTTCCAGCTCCTGTGAACAGAATCCTACATTTTGCCAGTCAATTTTACCAGTAAGAAGCAGCAAATTGGTTCCTATCCCATCAGCTGGGATGTGCCAGCCTGGAGCACCATGGAGTGGCAGCCAGTGATTGGCACATGCAGGGACACACAAGAGGCACCCACCAGTCCTGGGCCAGAGTCGGTGCAGCTCCTACAAGAAGGGATAAAACTGGGCCCTTCTCAAGCCAGCAGCAGCACTCAGCAGTTTCAGCCAGGGAACACCCATTCCCAAGGGCTCCTCTTTCTGAGTACAGCCCATTTATTTTAAACTGGTAGAGAGTCTAATGCCCTGCTGAAGGGAGTAGAACTCCTTTCCCTCTTGGTTACATGGAGGTGAAAGAGGGCAAAAGAGACCCAAATTTATGGTTATTTATTCACACAGACTCATATCCCAGCCCCACCTCTCCCTAACCAAACACCATGCTGGATATGGAATGACTCTGGTCCAGTTCCCAATAGAATCATCCGTGAAGGGCAAGGGCACAACAGGAACAATCCCACAACAAGGAGCCAGGCCAGGAAGAGCTGAGGGCATGTCCCTGGGGCACAGCCCCCTTCCCTCCCCCTTCCCTGGGGGCTGCCAGACAGAGCCAGCCACGATACAGGGACAGTGCTACAGGACAGGGACAAGGCTGGGGTGAGGCATGACCTACTGCTGGCACCATGGATCCATGGCACCATGACCCTTTCCTGGAAAAAGCCCCTGGATGGGGAGAATATGCCAGGCTCCACACAACTCTTTGGTTTGGATACAGCCACTGGTGGCATCTCAAGCCTTGAGGTCATCCCTGTGGAAAGATAAGTAGGAGCAGAGTTGAGGGCTTGGGGTTGCTCCAGACCCATCCTGGGGCAGAGGGTAAAGGCAGGAGCTTTTCTTGGCTGTTTGGACCAACCATCAGAGTGCAGGTAAGGAAACTGGTCCTCCCAAATAAGCAGCCCCAGGTATGTGAAGTTCATCTGAATGCCCCTTTTATTGAATGCTGTGATAGTGTAGTGGGAACGTGGAACAGGGTTAAGACTGCGTAAAACAAAAGCTGGAAGAGCAAGAAGTTTCAAAAAAAAAAAAAAAAAAAAAAAAAAAAAAAAAAAAAAATAAAAAAAAAAAAAAAAAAGAAAAAAAAAAAAAGGTTAGACCAGTTAAACCAGCATTGGAGTGGAGATGTATGGGGGGTTTAATGTAGTGTTAAAGGATAAACTTGAGTGTCTCCTGCATGTGCCCCACACCAAGCCAGGCTGTTTTTAAGGTCTTGAATGGGAAATGAACAGGTTGTGTCCCAGCTGAGCCCACGCTGGGTGGGCAGGAGGCACCAGTGGGGTTCAGAGGAGTCCCGAAGGTGGTACTGACCCCGGGGCTCCCACACCATGCAGGTGCATTGGAAGAGCTCCTATGCCAGTTCATGAACATCTTCCTTTTCCTAGTGATGATTACATGTGTGATAGATAGTTCTCTAGGCAACATGTTTCAATGAGAGTCAACTCTGGGGATACACAGCCCAATCTAACAATGAGAAATGCGCTTGCAGTCCAACAGAAGCTCTGCTTCCCTCTCCTCAGGAGAGGAGGTGGTCCTCTCTCCTCTCCACAGCATGTCAGGGTCCCACTGGAGCTCCGCTCTGCTGCTATTCTTCATCGGAGGAAGAGCTCTGATCCAGGGGGTACACCATGAACATCACGTCCGGCCGCGACGGGACAGCGGGGTGGCCAGGCCGCACGATCTCGAAGCCCAAGAAGCTGAATGTCTTCAGGAGTGGAGCTACCAAAGAGAAGATCTGTTACCACCAGGAATAATCCTCTTTACCCTCTCCCTTGAGCCATAAATATCAAAGTGCCTGGGACACCCTCTGTGAGTGCATCGAGAGCTTCCTATGGAGAGAAGCACAGTCTTCTCCAGCAGGGGTTTTTGTCTCCTCCTGTACTGATTGCAGCTGCTCCTAAGTGTTAAGGGATTTTAGCTGTGCAGCTGAGCAGCTTTGTCCATGTTTCTCCTGCAATGTTTCTTCTATCCCCTGTGAAATCGTTGGTTGTCTGCCTGCACCATCTGCACATCCCTGCTTTCCCAGGATGGAGGTGGCCATCCCATAGGATTTGTCCTGCCCCAGCACCCCTTGAGCACCGACAGAGGACAGACAGCAGCGAAGAGGAATCTGCTCAGGGACAAGGAAGACATTTGCTGTCTCCACAAGGAGGTGCTGGAGCTCATTGGAAACTCCAGACAACTGTGCACTGGTCGGGGTGGGACCCCAGGAAAGCCACTTCGGTTACTCGTGGGAATAAGAGTGGGGCCAGCCCAGACAGATACGGTTCTGTGGCACCTGTGTCACTGAAGTGCCTGTGTCACTGAAGCAATGGCTGCCCTGTGACCTGTGACACTCACCCTAGTGCAGCATCCCATCCCTACAGCACCCTTGGGCAGTTGGCTCCAGGACACTGAGTGATAATGCAGAGGAGCTCCTGAAGATATTTTATGGCAGCACTGAATTTCAGCTGGACAGACACGGACCCAGGATCTGGACCACTCCAGAACTTCTACAAACCCCTGGCATTGGCTGTCCCCTGTCCCCAGCCTCCACAGGGGCCACCTATGCAACCGGTGCTAGTGGTGACATAACAGCCAGGACTTGATTCTGAAATTACTCCTGGCATGGTAATGAGGGATGATGACATCTTCCTGGGCTCAGATCAGCTTTACTAAGGCCCTTCATTTCAGAGAAGCTGGGGCAGCTCATGAAGCTGCAGAGTAAAATTAGAATTGGGTTGGAATTACTTACTAGGATACAGCCTGACTCTGGTGGGATTTAGAGTGACACATTCCCAGCCTGGTACATCCCCCACCCCCCCAGGCTGTAATCCCTCTCCCAGCACGTCTATCTTTAGACCCTAATGCAGCCCCCAAAGCCATAAGCATCTTGAGCCAGAGCCAGGATTACCTGTAAGCCTGGAAAGGACAGAAGTGCCAGGAGATCTTTAAAAAGCTGATGAATTTCAGGGCAACAGGCTCTAAGTGCTTGTTTTCCATCTAATAACTCCTCTCTGGTTTAATCTTCCATGTCACAGCAGCCTGGTGCCAAACAGAGACTTCACTGCTCACCAAAAGGGGAACATTAACTGGCACTGGATGAGAAAATCACCCCAAATCATTCAGGAGCAGCTTTTTGCACCAGAGTATTGAATGGCAGGGCAGCAGATGAATGGAATCCCAGACTGGTTTGGGCTGGAAGGGATCTTAAAGCTCATTGAGTTCCACCCCACCGCCATGGGCCGGGACAACTTCCACTGGACTAAGTTGTTTGTATCCAGCAGATCTGCTGGAGAAACCGCAACATGCCCTCAACCCTTACTCTCCAAAAAGGGCTTATTTCCTCCACACAAAACTATTCCTATAAGAATTATGCACATAACAATCCCTGCACAGGGAGGGTCCTGCAGGTCTCGCCCTGGGATGACCAAGTTTCTTTACAGCTTCAGCAGCATCGTGTGGGGTGTCAGGAGTGAACCCAAGTGCAAGGCAGCCCTCACCTCGATCTTCTCTGCTTTTTCTGAAGCAGATGAAGACATAGTTGACTTTCATTTTTTCTTCAGCAAACTCCAGCAGTGCTGACAACCTGCCAAGGAGGGGGAAGACAAAAGGACATCAGCTCTGGGAAGTCCAGTCCTGAGGAAGCCTCTGAGCATTATCAAATTATCAACTGTTTGGATGATTTCGGACACAAAGATTGTTTACAGCCGCCTTCCAGCGAACAATGGGTGCTGAAACAATGGGCTTCCTGCCCTGCAGATTCAAGAGCTGTCCTTGCTCCGAGTAGGATAAGTTCCTGTCCTCACAGCCACAAACACCCTCCCCACCCGTGGTGCTTTGGGACTGAAGCCTTCGTAGTCAGGAAGTGAAATATTGCAGCTGCTCCCAGAGCAGGCTGCATTCCCTGGCAATGCATATGGGGACTCTGGGAGTTCTGTGCTTTTTGGGAAGGAAAACCTCCCAGAACTGCGCTCATGGCAGGCAGAAAAGGAGAACAAACCATCCCTAGAGAACATGTGTGCAGGCAAATCCATTTCCTGAGCTGGATGGCACAGCTGCTGCCCCCTGAATCCTCGCTTCCTGCCTTTCCAGCTGGATTATTTCTGCCACCTCCTGATGGAAGCAGTGCTGCAGTAACCCCTCTGCGAGCCTCCAGGGTGGCACACTGATCGACTGCTGTCACTTGCAACCACTGGCGCTGCCAGAGCAGTGACAGACTCCACATCTCAGTAACCAGCTGTCAGCGCAGTGCAGGAGATTAAATTTGCAAGGGTTCTGTTAATATGTTAATGAACTACTTTAATTATGGCTTCTGGCCTCTCCTCGGCTGTTTCACCCAGCTAAAAATAACCTGACAAAATTGCGCTTTAAGTCACAATGACACTGGCAAATAAATCCCCTCCCAGAAGGACCCATTCCAGGGAGAGCCCAGAGATTTACGGGCCAACTGGAGAAACTACACAAACATCTATCTGGACTCAGAGTCAAATGAGACAAGTGTGAGACAGCAACCACACTGCCACTTCCTGCAGGTGCCCAGTGATGGGTTTTTCTTTAATTGGATTGTGTCACTGAGGGATGAAGCCTACTTGGAGATTTAGGAGGAGCTGATTGCTCTGCAGACGAATCCAGCAAAGCCACATCTACACTGCAGCGGAGACCTCTGGCACAGCACTTGGCAGGAAGGAGTTGCTCTGGAAGCTGCATTTACACAAACTTCCCATAGCAGAGCTGTCTGGACAAAACATGACCGGATTCTGCCAAGAGAAAAATCAGAGCTCCTGGCAGAGTCCGGCACCAGTGCAGCAGTGCTCCAAGAGCAGATCCACCTACTAACGAGGAGAGCATCCATAGGATGGAGAGGTTTTTAGTTCCCTGAAAGAGAGGAAAATCTGCCAAGATGGGCTTGCCAAGTGGCCAGCAGAAAAATAAAATTAAAAAGTAATAAAATATCAGAGAAAATCTTGTTGGCTTTCTATACCAAAGTATACAAAGATTCACTCTGCTCATTTATTGCCTGTTTTTCATTAGTGTTGGGACTCAAAAAATGGTAACTCATCTGGAATATCACTGAGGGAAAAAAATTCCTGTGGGGGACTCCGCAGACAAGGGAGCAGAATGTGCACAAACCACAAACAGAGCTGCTATTGCGCAGCCCATTTTCCACACACAGCATGAAATCCCAGGATGGTTTGGTTTGGAAGGGACCTTCAAACTCATCTTGTTCCAAATCCTGCCATGGGCAGGGACACTTTCCACTAGACCATGTTGCTCCAAGCCCCATTCAGCCTGGCCTGGAACACTTCCAGGGATGGGGTGTCCATCCACAGTTACATAACTGAAGTCCTGTCCTCCAGGAGCCATGGCTACACCATCAGGATCAGAACTTACCCTTCTTTGCTTCCATCAGCTAATAATCCATCAGGGATTTCCACAAAGAGGCTCTGGTTTGAGAGCACTGCATCCCAGGAGGAGGTCTTCACCTCTGTGACCTTGTACTGGAAGTGGACAATGTGAGGCTTCCCTTCATGCACTGGGACATCTTGGCTAACAGTGATCTTCTCATCCTGGGAAAATGAAAAATGTAAAGTCCTGAACTGCCAGGGGACAACTGGAGAAAGCAAATGTAAAGAAATTGTCTTAGGGTTTTACTGAGAACAGGATTATGCTTTTCCCTTCTCCTTTTGCTGGCTCATGGACACATCACACAGTTCTCAGCCCTCAGAGTGATTTCTAGCCATGTTTTCCTGTTACAGGAATGTAGTTTTACATATTGACATAATATTAAATTTCTGACTAGAAGACTCCACTGCTTCACTGCAGGCTCCAGCCACATCTGGTGGTGCTTCATGAACTGCCCTTCCAAGAACACAACTGGACCCAACACCCAACACAGAGCTTCTGCTACCACAGCCCAGCCAGGTTTGGTGCCTCCCCCATCCCCAACACAGCCTTTCTGTTCCAGGAGTGACCACAAATTGCTTTCCCAGATTTTATGGTTTGCCTCCTGGTGTAAGGGAGAAAAACACAGAGTGCAGGGAAATTCCAGAGCAGATCTGAAGCTTGCGAGGAGGTCTTTTCCAGAGACCACAAATGCACATGTCCTTCCCCAGTCCTGCCCCATGAGGATGCCAAGCATGCAGATTACTTGGGATCAGCTCAGCAGTTCCTAGAAAACAATTCAGTGGTTAAAGCCCCATTCCTTTGGACAATTCCTGCAGGCACTTGGGTTGCCCAGTAATGATTTCCACGTTTCAGTGCAAAGAGCCGCAGCGAAAGAAGCGGAGCCCTGAGTTAACGCTGTTACTGCAGTGAAGCTGAGCTGTCCCCTGTACTTGGTGACAGCTCGTGTGTCCCTGTCCCTCACATTCACTGGTACCTGCGCAGCTTTGAAGGGCAGCAGTAAAGCAGATACCCAGTCATGAGAGCACCTGGAGAGCCATGTGTCCCTCCCTCCTCAGCAGGTGGGTGGGCAGTGCTTCACTCCTCTGGGTCATTGGGTGAGCGCTGTCCAGCCTCCAGATATTTTATTTTAACAGAGTGATTAATTCAGCAGCTCCTTACAAGCCCTTACAGGCACCTCAAGCCACTGTCCCAGTGCTTTAATTCCTATTACCTCTTGTCTTAAAATAGATGCCCCTTGGTTTGACTACTGTATGACAGAGAAGACTCTGAGGACATTCACATTGGTGACAAAGTAATACCATGTGCAAAGTGGGAGCAGCTTGGCCTCTGAAAGCTGAGCAGAGGAAGTTGCCTTTCATTGAAAGCTCACAAAGCTGAGCTGAAAAACAAGTTTACACTTCACCAGAATAAATATCCTGTAGGAAACAAGTTTATTCATTGAGTTTGAAGGAAGTCTGAGTGGCTGAGCACACCAAGAAATGCACTGAGAACTGTTCCAGTGAGGTCGGGCTGTGGCTGTGATGGAGCCAGCAGAGAGAGGCAGGGCTGAACACAGAGGTTCTTACAGAAAACAAATCCAAGGGGCTTATATGCATTTCCTTCAGCAGTGACTTGACAGGACACTTTACAGCTGTTTCAGTGCAGAAAGTGTTTCTGTTCCAGAAAACATCCTTCTCTCCAGAAAAGCTCACAGATCATGCTTTTCCCATGCTCACAAAACTAAAACTAGGTGAGGAAGGGAAGGAAAGCAGGCTGGGATTGACACATGGGAGGTGTGCCTTTGAGTGGGAAGACTGGCACTGCCATGGGAAGGGAAAAGGATTCTAAGCCGTTCGGTCGAGAACTTCCTTGTCACCAGAAATTATGTCCAGTGAGATTGCTCCACTGAAACCCCTCTGTGACAGCCCAGGAGCCAAAGGCAGCACGACCACAGGGATTAGCAGAACCAGTTCCCCCGGTTCAGTGGGAATTGCGTTTACACAGCCTGGCTGGGGCAGCTGACACTTTATTTCTAGGTATCCAAACAGAGATGTCAGGGAAGAGAAGGGCTCTGTGAGCTGCTGCTGTGAAGCAGCAACAACAGCCCAAAATTCTTTGGAAGCTGCTCAAAGCAAAATCTTATTTACACAACAAGCATTTGGTTCTAGTTCACCCTGGAAAAATCCCTACACAAAATCCCCCTGCCATGTTCCTGTGGTCAAAACCCCCTGCCACCAGACTGAATTTTACCCAGCTGCCCAAACCCTGGCTCCCCAACCCTCCAGCTCCATTTCAGCATCACAAAGCTGCAAAGACCAACTTCCACTTGGTTCCAATTCACTGAACACAAGATTTTCCAGCCCTGCTCTGCTCCTCAGATGTCCCAGGAAGGATGGGGGGAGGCCTTGGTATGTTGGCAAGGCCAGAAGGAAGGATGTTACGATCCACCCTGGACAAGTGGCTGGAGAAAGCTGTGGAAGCACCCACTGCTGCCAGGTGCTACACCTGCAGCCTCCTGCCAACTCTGCCAGCCAGGGCACATCTCACCTGGCAGCACCCGTACCGTCACTGTGGTATTCCCAGCTCCAGCAAAGCTCCCTGGATGGAGGGCTGAGCTTAAAGTCTCTTAACACAAAAATCCCAACAGTTACAGGAAGCCCCAGTTTATGGCAGTGGTGTATCTGAGTGCTGCATGCACCGGCAGAGGCAGGTGTGTTGGGAAAGGCCATCCCTTGGACTGGAACAGCTGACACAGCTGGAAAAGGGATTTAAACTTTCAGATCCAGATGCCTTTCCAGGTCATGCCGGTGGCTGCTGGCTGAAAAGCTCAGCTGCTGTAACTACAGTACTGCCAGACCGAGCAGGTCACCGAGAGGGCAGACAGAACCCTGTCACTGCTCTGCGGTCTGACACACCTCAAATCCTGGGGTCACTTCTGGGCCCCTCATTCCATGACAGACATTGAGGGGCTGGAGCATGCCCAGAGAAGGGAACAGAGCTGGGGAAGAGGCTGCAGCACAAGCCTGACGAGGAGCAGCTGGGTGGGCTCAGTCTGGAGGAAAGAAGGTTCATGGGGGACCTCTCTACAACTCCTTGACAGGAGGATGCAGCCAGGTGGGAGTTGTGCTCTGCTCTCAGGGAACAAGGAATGGGATGAGAGTAAATAACCTCAACCATTTCCAGGCTAGAGCAGGTTGGATATTAGGGAAAATGTTTTCACTGAAAGGACTGTCCAGCCCTGGCAGAGGCTGCCCAGAGAAGTGGAATCACCATCACTGGAGGGGTTCAAAAGCCCTGTGGATTTGGCACTTGGGGACATGGGCTAGTGGTGAACATGGGCAGTGCTGATGGAACAGTTGGACTCAATGAAATTAGAGGGTTTTTCCAACCCAAACTATTCCATAATTCTTTGTTACAGATGGGGCTGATTTTCTGACAGAGCCTGCTAGTTTTGTCAAGCAATAAATCCAGGAGGAATTCCATCCATATTTCTGGGATGCAGCTATCTGGATGACATCCTCCTGCCTACACACCACTGCCAAAATCTGTGCAAGTTTAGGGCTGTACTGGAGTCAAACACTCCAAAGTCTCTAAATCATTATTCCTTCCACCTTCCTCCTCCATGCTGAGCCTGTTTTCTACCTCAGGGCCTTGCCTGGTGCACACACAAGGCTTTGCAAAGCTGGCTGGCAGGAGCTCTGGCTGCAGGGTCCCATTTCCCACCCAGAGGGGATTCATTACTTGTCCTGAGCCCTCTTGAAGCTATTTTTTTATCTTCTTTCTGTGACGGGAAGCCCACTGTGCTGCTTCTCTGGAGTTTGTACCCCCCAAACATCTGTGACAATTCACCTTGAGCATTAAACTGATGGGACCTTGTCACTGGAGGCTCAGAGGCTGGCATTTTGCAAGGGAAGCAGGTGAGGAAAGTGCTGAAAACTCAACAAAGGAAACTCTGAAAGCAACCATGAGGTGTGTGATTCTCTCAGGAACTCCAGGAGGAGACTCTGGGAGCTGTGGCCCAAAAGGGTCTGTATCTTTTCATCAGGTGATGTCTGTGTGCCACCCACAGGTTAATTAAAAATCAGGTCTGACACCTATGACAACACCCCTGGGTCAACAGCCAAATTTGTAAGGTCAGCATAAACTCAGTCTGCCTCCCCTGAATCTAAAAGCAGCCCTTGTCCCAGAAGGGAGACAGATGTGAGCCAAGTCACACAAATTACTCTAGAGGAAGGAGCAGCCAGGTCTCCTTATTCTAAAGGAAAGGTCCCATGGAATGAAGAGGAGCACAAAATGAGACAGCTGCAAGCCTGCAGACACAAACCATTCCTGATCTTGCCCTGCCTGTGCAAACGTTCTAGAAACAGCCTTGTCTGGGAGCTGCTTCTCCCACCTGCACCTCGGTTCAGGCAGCTCCCAGGCCCTGACAGCTTCACATTCTGGACCAGGGTGCAGGAAGGAGCTTATCAACCCCTCCCTTGCTGCATTTCACCTTTCTGCTTCTCACTTCCTTTCTCTGCCAGGCATTTCAGAAGCCCTTTCACGTTTGGATAATACAGACTCCACGTACAATAGCTGCAGCAGGCCCCTGGGACAGGCTAGTGAATGATCTGCTGTACAATGGTCTCTCATTTCTTAATAAACAGGTGATATTTAAGCAGCAGAGACCTGTCTGCAGCTCAGTCCCTGAAAAATTACCTGTTCTCCCACTTATTATCTTGGAGTTCTTTGCATTTATTCCCATCAGACTGCGAAAGGAAATGAATACAGTTGTAGCACAGGTACAGGTCAGTGTTTAGACGTTAAATGTATCTCACCTTATATATCAGAGCTGAAAGAGAAGGATCCCTGCCACCCCCTCGCCCACCGGGGATCTTCGACAGTGGGTGAGGGGCATCAGGAGCACCACAGAGGCCCTGGAACGATGTGCCTGCAGCACTGCAGCTGGGGACAGTTACTCAAAGGTAAAATACTACTGCAAGAAAAAGAGAGAGAGCACCGTGTTACATTAGCAGGGGTCACATTTCAGAGGCTCCAGCTTCTCAAACCCCCAAATCATTTGTATCCTTGCTCCTCACAGCACCCAGATATCAACATCGAACTGCCCCAGTGGCACCAGACCCAGAGTGTTTTGTTGGGAATGGACAAGGGGCCAGGAACTCAGAGAGTGCTGAGCAACCTCATGCTAATAAGGGAGGCCTGGAAGGCTGCCAGGAGCAGATGGCTGGGAACACATGACCAGATGAGCACACATTTTCTAGAGGCAAATATCTACAAATAGATCAACAGGGCCCAGGAGGAGAAGGTTTAAGTTTCACATTTTCAAACCCAGGAGAAATGAAAGGGCTGGTTCTTCAATACACTCCACAATGTCCATCGCAACATTTTCACACCCACATGAAGCACCATGCAAGCATCCTCCACCCCAACCCTAAAAATTACAAGTTCACCCCACAGAGCTACTTTGAACAGCAAGAAAACACACTTCCCTTGCAGTTTCCAAGTTTATTTGGATATCCTACACGTGGTCCTCCAGAATGGCTTTGGACACAGGCTCTGGCTTTTAGGAAGCTCATCAAAGCAAATTATTTGACTTCTGGAGCCTTGTTTCCTCTCTCAGCACCACAAAAGCTCTGTGCTGAGGCCCAGTGATGTTCCTCTAGCACAGCCTGCAAAAGCCATGTAGGAAAACCAGTCCTTCTCCAGTGCTGCCACTGTGAAACACAGCAGCACAAAGCTATGGAAGCACCACCAAAACAACACCGTCAGGGAGGGCTTCCATGAGCAGGGAGTGAGGCTGAAGTGGATAAATTCTGCAGCTGTTCTGACAACCACGGTCTGCCCTGAAACTTCTCACTTGAAGCGGTTCCCAATGCAGTGTTTTTCCACTCTAATCCCTGTCCACGAGGCAGACAGGCTTAAGTATCCAAACACCAAGTGCAGAGCTGCACTGTTAGAACCACCTCAGATGCCTAGAAAAACGAATCAGACTGGTTTGGGCTGGGAGGGACCTTAAAGCCAATCAGTTCCAACCCCTGTCATAGGCAGGGACACCTTCCACTACACCAGGTTGCTTGAAACCCCATCTAACCTGGCCTTGTAACTTGCCTGTGCCAGTTGCAAACAAACTACTACAAGTAGTTTGGCATTTCCGAGTGCCAAAAACATAACTTGCAAATGCACAAGGCAGAATGGATCTCTGCATACCACCTACCACCAAAACCATCTTTCTACAGGAAACACTAATATTCTTCCTCCACATATTCCCTCCCCCAGGTTTGCTAGACGGGGCACTGGGGCAGCATTCCCATGTGCTAGAGCAGGCATTATCTTGGAGAAAAGGCAGTTTAAATACACCAGGAGATGTCTGGGGGCAAAGCAGGGTGTTCTGTGCTCCCTGCTGTGCCTGGGGCTATCAATGGGCCAGTGTGTGTTCAGTAGTAGAGGATGTCGAGAGGATGACAAAGCACTTTGTGCTTCCCCACCCCCGAAAGCTGTTGGCAGCTTTGTTAGTCCCTTCCCTCCTCCCTCTACCCTCCAGCCAACAATGTACTATTGATAGCTCTTTCCAACTTGCGGCCAAGGCATAGAGAAACTGGATAATGAAGTGGAGTTGTGGGAAAAAAAAATTAAAACAGAGAGGCAGCCAAAGACACTTCCCGGTTTCACTTCCTCTGGCACATGCAGAAGTCAAAACACCAGCCCCCTTCAGCTGCTGCCTGCACATCCCTGGCCCAAATCTGCACACCTCCCACTATCCTCCCCCCAAAATCAGGGTCCCTGCACACCACCACTATCCCCCACAAGGATTAGGGTTCTGAGACCAGCACCCTCAGGGAAGAGAGTGTGTGTAGGGCACAGATTAAAAGGACTTTTGCTTTCTCCAGCTGTGCTTCAGCTCGCTGGGAAGAAATTCATGCAAACAACCAACATCTGATCCCTTCATCCATCCTTGTGCAAACAGCAACTCTCCCCGAGGTCTGTTTGTAGCTTTAAGTTAGGCTTGTGCTCCCTTCTGACGTCTGTCCTCCTTGGAGGAGCTGCTTTCCTGCAGCTTGGTTGAAATTAAGATGCATTTAGATCACCAAGGCCTTTCCTTGGAGAAACTCCTCAGTACAAGCTGCTGGTCTGTGCCCTGCCCGAAAGGGGAGCTGGAAGTCGGTGTTAAGCTCTCATCCCGCGGGTGTAATTTTAACTCGCTAAGCTCCCAGCGATCCCAACCTCGTGCCCTGTCCCTGGGAAGTGCAAAGGGCAGCTCAGCAACTTCAGAGCCCCATCATCACTGCTCCTAGGCACACAGAGCCAGGCTGAGACCATCACCAGCACATCAGGGGCTGAAACGAACACATTCCCTTGTGTTTTGGGGGTTTTATTTGTTTTGAACACTTAGGCCAGATGGAAGGATCCGCAGAGCTCTCCTGACGTTGGAGAAAGGACTGTTTTGTTTGTTTTCCTCTCTTCCCCTTCCCAAAACAGGTTCTGGAGATCCAGCTACACTTGAATAATATAACAACTATTGTTATTACTATTATTATTGTTGTTAGACAAATATTCAGGAGCCCGATTTGAGGAGTAAATTGTAAATAACCATCTGATGAACACAGCACAGCTCAAGCAACTCCCACACAGGCAACGGGCGAGAACCGAGGCTGGTTCATACGCATCCTCTGGGCTCTTATCGGCGACAGAGGCGCAGGAAATGACACTCGGGGGACTCCAAACAAGGAACAGACATACAAGATAAATCGGTCAGCTGAGAAAAATACATAGATCCTGCAAGTTCGTGGCTGCTGACACCTAAGCCGCCTGGAAAAGCCACCTCCTTTTAGGCAGAGAGAGGTGCGGGGGGCGCGGGGAGGGAGCGCTCGGACCCCGCCGCCGCCAGGGCTGCTCAGCGAGAGGCGCTCAGGCCCTGGCGAGCCCAGACCCACTCCCGGGGGGCTCCTCCAGGGGGAAGAAACGCCTTGATGGGGATTTTAAACGGGAAAAAGTGGAGCGGCCTCCCCACGTCCCGCGGCCTCCCCGCCGCCTCAGCGCCCGCCCGCGCCCCAGGCCCGCCCGCCGCCGCCGCGCTGAGGAGCGAGGGAGGGCGGGGAGCGCGCTGCGCACCTGTCCTGGGTGTTTATCATCGTGCGCTCGCTGCGGTGCGGCTGCGGTCGCTGTCGGCGCTGCGGTCGCTGTCGGCGCTGCGGTCGCTGTCGGCGCTGTCGGCGCTGCTGGCGCTGGTGCCCCGGCGGTGCCCCGGCTGTCCCCTCCTGCGCTCCGCTCCGCTCGGCGCCGCGCTCCGACTGACCCCGCGGGCCCGCGCGCGGACACGCCCCCGCGCCGCGCGCCCCGGCCCCGCCCCCGGCCCCGCCCCGCGCCGCGCGGGCTGCCTGGGAACCGGCCGCCCAAACAAAGGCGCGCGCCCGGCCACGCCCCCGACTCGCCCCGCCCCGCGCCCGTGACGTCACCGAGCCGCGAGGGCGCGCGCGCCGGCCGCGTCTCTGGAGGGGCTGAGGGGAGCGCGCCTGAGGGGAGCGCGCCTGAGGGAGCGCGCCTGAGGGGAGCGCGCCTGGGAGCCCCGGTTTTCCACGGGCTCCCGGTTATCCACGCGGTCTCGGTTATCCACGGGCTCCCGATTATCCACGGGGTCCCGATTATCCACGGGGCCCCGGTTATCCACAGGCTCCCGGTTATCCACAGGGTGCCGGTTATCCACGGGCTCCCGGTTATCTACAGGGTCCCGATTATCCACGGGGTCCCGGTTATCTACGGGGTCCCGGTTATCCACGGGGTCCCGGTTATCCACGGGCTCCCGGTTATCTACGGGGTCCCGGTTATCCACAGGGTCCCGGTTATCCACGGGCTCCCGGATCTCCTCACGGTCTGGTTCTCCCCAGGGTCCCGGTTTTCCCCTCAGGCTCCCGGCTCTCCTCGGGCTCCCGTTTATCTCCTGCGTCCCGGTTCTCCCCACGGGGTCCCTGTCCCCCCCTCAGGTTTCCAGCCCTCCTCGGCTCCCAGGTGCCAGGTGTCCGCAGCCCCAGGCCCAGGCTGCGGGAAGTGACAAGGGCCAGGCAGGAGCAGGGGCAGAGGCGGTGGGACGAGAGGCTGGGGACACAGCCGAGGAATGGACAGCGGAGCCACACAGAAGAAGCCACTGGTGCAGAGGTAACAGATTGGGAAGAGATTCCTCCCTGGGAGGGTGGGGAGGCCCTGGCACAGGGTGCCCAGAGAAGCTGTGGCTGCCCCATCCTTGGAAGTGTCCCTGGCCAGGCTGGACAGAGTTTGGAGCAACCTGGGATAGTGGAAGGTGTCCCAGCCCATGGCAGAGGGGTTGCAACTAGATGGGATTTAAGGTCCCTTCCAACCCAAACCATCTCCTCACATGATGATCCTACATTCTGCTTAAAGTACATTGCTGATGCATCAAATGTGGCCTGGGATGCAACAGTAAGTAGGAGCCAGCCATAACACAGGGGCCAGTGTAAAGAATAAATACATGGATAACAGAATGTGGAGCTGCCCATGACAGGATTCTGCAGGGGCTTTTGGTGAGGAATGTATCCATGAGAAAAAAGGAGTCATAGAGCCAAAGATGAGGCTCCTGGAGAACCAGGAAGATGGAAGAACTTGTGGGCTTCAGTCCTGCAAGAGAGCTTGCTGGGTGCTGAGCCGTCCCATGGGATCAGGGACTGAGCAGCCCTCTGGAAGAGAAGCTGTGGAGTCCCTGTGGATGCCAGCCCAGCCCCCAGGGTTGGAATCTTGCAGAATCTCACGCTGACCCATCTGATCTCACACCTGGGCATGGCAGAGGCAGCTCCTGACACATGCAGCAGCCTGAGGAGCAATGCCCCAGTAGGCTCAGGCCTCTGGGTTCTGACAAGTATCCCTGGGCTGGGGCTTCCTGGTTCCCAGTGCAGTGGCGCTGCCCCGTGCTCAGCAGGAAAGGACCAGATGTTCTGCAGAAAGCTGGACATCAGCCAGGGCCCAAGTTCAAACAGAGCCCGTTAAATGGCCTTTTCCCCCTTCCTCTGCATTTCCAGCCCTGCTTGAAGCTCTGATTCTATTTATAATGCCCAGGAAAAGCGAACTGAGACTTTCCCACAGTGCTGGCTTCTCAGGCGATTGTTGTTTGGGAAGCTGGAATGTACATAGTATTATTTTTGCATCTCCCTGGGAAGGGTTTTTATTTTTTATTGCGTGTCACTCTGTCCCCATCTGTGCTGAGGAGGAGAGTGTGTGAAGCACAAGGTGTCTGGTGCTGCTTACAGCTCTCCAATGCTTTGTCAGTGCTGGTTTAGGGGTCTGTGCCCATGAGCCCACCAGGGAGGGTGCTGCGTGTACTGAGAGGGGTCCTGGCAAGCCATGAGGATGGAGGCCAAAGAGGGACATTGCCCGCAAGAAATATCCCCTGTCTCAGTGCCAAACCCAGGGAGCACCAATCATGTCACTTGCTCTGTGCCTTAGTGTCCTGAGTGCAGAGGAGACAGCACCAAGAGCCCTGCTGGGAGCAATGGGCTCATCATTCCTGCTCTGCCTGGGGTTTGGCATTGGGACACGCCCTTGTGCCGCAGTTTTGGGGTGGCAGAGCTGCCACATGAGGCTGGGCCTGACAGCCAGGCTGCAGGGTCACTGTTTGTGTGGCGCCTGTGCCAGTAGAGGCCAGCAGGTTCTTTATTTGCCAGTCTTGGCCATGTGAGGCTTTAACCTGCAAGGAGCTGCCGTGGGATATTTTGGGCATGGCCAGAGCTGCCCCTGTGCTCCCATGCCCCCGGGCAGGCATCTCACAGAGCAGAAAACACCTTGCTTGGGCTCATGTCCTGCCTGTCCTCTCCCTTGTCACTGTCACCTGACCACACTGCCTGCAATGCTCCTGGCTCTCTCTTTCCCTGCCCTGCGAGGTCCTGCACTGCTCCATTCCCTCTGTGCCTCAGGGCCTTCCTGCTCTCCCCGGGTTTTATCACCCTGCCCAGGATTTTGGCAGTGAGAAATGCTGTTGCACCATATTTTTGGAGAGTTTCTTTTTGCCACAGCCAGTCTGATGAAGGACAGACATCTCCAAGTAGCTTTACTCTGTCACAATGGGTTCTGGGGTTGACTATCCCAAATTCTAGATGCAAAACAGATTCAGTCTGCAACATCTCTGTTTTAGAAGCTTGCAAGCACTAATTGACCATCTCCTTAACTATTGTGATTAAATGTGGACCGTGTAGCTCTTAAAAATACTTCCCATGAGGACAAACTATGGAAAGAAATGACCAATTTTTCCCCAGCTAGGGGAGTGGAGACTCAGAGCCCGTCTGTGCCTGGAGCCAGTGACACTCTCGGGCTGGGGCTGGCAGGTGGCTCTGGCCTCTCAGGGCTGCCTGCCACCAGGACAGAAACTCTGAGGTGGGAGAGAGGTGAGGCCAAGGCCAGATCGCTCGGTCACGGCCTTCTTGAGCACAGGGCTGACAGCAGAGACGCTGCCCAGATGTTTGGGGCCATGGAGGCAAGTGGGGTTCCTGCAGGACAGGTTGTCCCTCCGACATTCTCTCCGTGCTCTTCCTTGGCCCTGCCTGCGTGTGAGAAAGTGCCAGGAGTGAGTTCACCAGCTCAGTGGCTTTGTGGCCATGCAGTCACCGCGGCTCTTGCTGACCTCGCGGTGGTGCGGCCATTCAGAAAAGGGAGAGGGGATTGTACCAGGGAAGCACTGGGATGGAGGCAGCCTTTCCCTGTGTTTGTTCCCCCAGGCACTGCTGCATTGTGTCTTCCTGCTGCGTCCTCCCTGCAGCGGAGTGCAGGCAGCACTGGGGTGTGTGATGGGCATCACATGACACAGACAGTTCCTCGGTACCTGCAGGAGTGCTGCACAGCTGGCTCTGCTTAAAAGCCTTGACTAATGGAAAACACTTCCAAAGGTTTCCAGACAAAGAGGGAAAAGGGTTGGTAGATTTTAGTGTAATTAATACCCTGTAGTTATTTTAAAATATTGTTAGAAATGTGTCATTCAGAACTTTCTAGGGCTGGACATGTATCTGGGGATGTAATTAAGTTTTCAACAGTGCCTTTTCATCCCCCTTCCGTGGCTGATCCTCCTTTTAATGTGAGGATCTTGTTTCCTAAGGAAAAAACAAAAATGAACCCTGCCAGAGAATTTTGTTTTCATACCTCAGACCCAGCCCTTCTGCCAGCTTGGTCTTCCTGTGCTGACATGTTTGTGTCTGTTACAACCAAAACAGCACCAGGAGCATTCCTGGGATTTTGGCTTCCTGTGTTTTGAGGTAAGCTGTGCATAAATTCCCTAAAGCTGGCCCATCAGTGCGTCTGGAATTGTCTTGAGAGCGCAACTGTAAATCTGTAAGGTGGGTTTTAATTGTTTGAACAGTCAAATTGGTTGGTGTCACTCACCTGTGTCTTTGATTTCCTTCACATCTGTAACAGCAAATGAGGTTCCTTCCAAACCGTGCTGATAGTTTTCTGCTCTCCCTTTATATTTCCAGCAGGATGACTTGATTTCTTGGCAGACCTGCCTGGAGCTGAGGGTCAGATTTAAGGCATGTTGCTGACATCAGTGGCTTTCCTTTTTAATGAGCTTTGTCAGAATTCGTTCTTTAGCCATTAAGTGGTGCCAGCGTGGAGTTCATGCATGAGCTGAGCTGAAACCTGCTCGGTGTGAATTAGTGATGAGGGAAAAGGAGGTCAGGGAACGTCTTGTTTCAGGAAACAGCAATAACTGGTGTGTCCAAGGCCTGCAGCCAGGGAATGGGCAGAATAAAACTTAGAAATCATGACAAGGGATGAATTCCCACTGCTGTGCTCGGAGGAGACCTTGTCCCTCCTCATGCCAGTGGGATGTGCATCAGCACCAAGCAAAGGTGTTCCTGTGCAGCCTGAATTTGGGTGTTATTGGGGTGGGCTGAGGAGCTGGATGGTGTCAGGGGGATAGGCTGGTGATATGACATGATGGCAAACCATGAGAGGGGTCTGTCACAAGCTTGTGTCATTGATGAGCCCTGTGCTCCAGAAGGATGCTGTGGGCCAGTGTCAATGCCTTTGGAGGGGACTCTGTTAGGATGATGAGATGGCCGTGTGGAAGACATGCCAGAGAAGTCCCTGACTGTCCCTCCAAGCAGTGAGTGTTGGGATGGGTTGCCCTGAAGAGGCAGAGGGGTTTTCCTGGCAATCACTGAAAAAAAAAGGCACTTCCTCCCCCTGTGGTGATCTGGTGCAGCAGAACCTGGGAGTGGGGTATGATGGAGGAAGTAATCCATGGAGTCCAGAGCCTCCAGCAAGCCAGGAACGTGTGCATGTGAGGCTCAGGCATGCAG